CATCAAAATAAACTAATTAATAAAAAAAGAATTCTATTAAGAACTTGGAAAGATCAAATTAAAAAAAAAAAGAATGAGAGGCACCATCAAAATAACTGGAAAAAAGGAGGTAGGAAAAAAAAAGGAGGTAGACCAGTCATCTATCAAGTAAGAACAAGAAAGAACAGGCACACAGCCAGAGTGAGACTCTGGTCTCCCTAAATGTTAAAAGGATAAGAGAAAGCCTCACATGTTGGGTGGATTGACTCTGGAGGACCTAAGGAAAGACATGCACAAGAATCTCATATGAAGAGAAGGTATGAAGGGTCTGCAATCTGCAAATGGAGGGAGTACACCGGTAAGGTTACAGACACAATGATGCATTATCAGTGTAAGCATTAGAGAGAGGGATTAGACCTACAATTTCATCAGGATATGGGACTCCTACACAGCAGATCAGCCTCTTCTCTGCAACTTATAGCCTTAGAAAACTGGCCAGAACACAAAGGTTAAATGACTTGCCCCAGGTTACAGAACCAGTATGTGTCAGAGGCAAGATCTGAATTGCCAGCTTTGAGGTCAGCTGTCTATCTATCATGTCAAGGTGCTTCTCAGGTGGACAGTGCAGATTAGTGTCCCTATTTCAAGGATACGGGCACGCAGGCTCAGAGATGGAGCTTGTCCAAGATAAGCACTGGAACTGTGATTTCAACCCTGTTTTTTAATATCATGTCCAGTGTTCTTTTTTGCTTTACCAGGCTGCCTCTATTAGCGATAACATTAATAATTGAGTAATTCCAGCACCTACTATGGATGCTGCCTCCACCAACATGGATCAAAGCCCCTTTATGCCTTTGTGGATGGTGTTCATGAGCTGCTATAGCTGAAGATATCCATACCCTAGATCCATCACCCTTTAACGACTAGGCCTCTCTGTACTTACTTAGGCCAGGCCCACGGGAAGTCTTACCAGCTGGGTAGAGCTTTTCTTCCAGTAGCATAGTTTTGAAGAACTCAGAGTCACCTTTATGCTGCAACAAAGCCAGAAGAAGATCTTAGTCGAGATTATTAATTGCAGCAGCTCACAAGTCTATGGTACTCTATGGATTATAAAGTACTTTCCTCAATCTAACTCTGTAAGGTAAATAATGCATCATTATCTCCATTTTAAAGATGAAAAAACTAAGGCTCAGGGAGGATAAGTTAATTGCTAACATCACTGCTTGTCCCATGTTACACCTTTCTCCAGTCCTCTCAATGTTAATTCCTTTTCTCTGAGATTATCTTCAATTTATTCTGTGTATGTACTGTTTGTACATCATCTTTTGGATGCTGTTACTTCCATTAGATTGTGAGATCCCTGAGGGCAAGTTTGATTTTTGCCTTTTTTTTTTTTTGTATCCCCAGAGCCTAGCTTAGTGCCTGGCTCATAGTAGGTGCTTAATAAATGCTGGTTGACTTTACCCCCATATGCTACTAAACCCAACCTTTGGAACACACAAGCAACAAGAAGAGCCACCCATGGTCGGCAACATTCCAAAAAGAACTAAGCGAAAGTAAACCATGGAATGTAAGAATATGAACATGCTAGGGATCCTTAGAACATGGAATGTTGGAACTTTAGGTGACCTCAGAACACAGAACTGAGATTGACAGAGCTGAAAAGGATCTTGGAACAGAGAACCCTAGAACTGGGAGAGATCCTTAGAGCACAATGTTAGAGCAGGCCTTAGGGACCTTAGAACAGAAAATGGCAGACCTGGGAGGGACCTTAGAGACCATGTGGTCCACCCCCCTGGTTGGACAGAGAGGAAGACAGTTATTGACTAGATCTCAGATCTAGGGGCCTGGGTTCTAAGTTGGGCTCTGCTATCTCCCGTCTGTAATGACCTCGACTCAGTTTCCTCAGTTTCCAACTTTGTAAAATGGAGGTGGGGGTCCTAAGTGAGTACCAAGATTCCTCCCAGCTCGAAATCTAACATCCAATGAAACTGGAAGCTTTCTGTCCGAGAGCCCACTGCAAGCCACAAAAGCGGGACTAGAAGGCAAGTGTCCAGGGGTCCAGGCCTGTCTCCAGGTGACCTACAAAAGGGCCTCCCCTCCCCCAAAGCCAGGCCTAGCACCTGTAGCATCATTTTCGCCTCTGGGACTGTCTTTTAAGGCGGGTGTCCCAGCTGATGGCTTGTTGCTTTCACAAGTCCCGGAGACGAGAAGGCAGAAGGGGAGTTCCGTCTAACGGTGTCCGCAGCGCGAGTCCCCGCCTTCCCCCTCGGCCCTAGAAGTCTCATCCCAGCTTCTAACAGGCCGGTTTAGGCCAGGCCACTCCACCAGCCCAGGCTTCCTTTCCTCTCGGCAACGCAGTCCGCTCCGCCCCGCTCATTGGCCAGCCTCCCTCCCGTCCAGCCATTGGTCCGCTCTCCGCTACTTTACATAGCCTCCTCACGACCAATCATCGCCCAGTGCCTACTTAACATGCAGCCCGACGGCCACTCAGAGAGCGCGGGGGCTGGGCCACCACGTGCTGTTGCTAAGCTTCGGCTTCTAAATTGTTACTATCGCGGCCGGCCTATTGGAAGAGAGATTCAGATCTGTCAACATTCTCTTCCCCAAGCTTAGGGGGTTCGGTCCGCTTCCATTGGTTCCGCTCACCCCTAGTTCCCGCCCCCAAACCCAAACGACGGATTTCTATTGGTTGCTCGAGCCGCCCATCGGTCTTATGTGTCAATTTGAGGGCTGGAGCGAGAGGGTGGTGTATAGGCGACTTGGAAGTAGGCTGGAGTGTGTGAACTCGGTGCAGTTGGGCGCTCGGGGGTCTGCTCTATAGGCAGGGAGAGGAGCCAGAGCCAGGGTGGGGGGGGCTGGGTGTTTGCCGTCTGGTTTCTCTGGGGGGGTGGGGGGGGACTGGTGTGAGTGACAGAGCACCAAAAGTATGGAGTGGAACTCTCTGTTACTCCTCCTGGAAGCAGCCGAGTACTTGGAGAGAAGAGACCGAGGTATTCCCAGAGTTGACTCTTTTGCAGAGCCCCCCTCCTTTCCTTTCCGCTCCCCTCTCTCTTTGTTGTACGCTGCTCCCCCCCTGGGGACCGCCTTTTCTTTCCCCCCTCTTCCCTGCCTGGAGCCTCGACTCCCCCCGGTTCGCCTCTGGCTCCGAGGCGCACGGATCCTACCTGAGGTTTAGGGGCCCAAGGGAGGCGGGGGAAGATACTTTGTTGCAAAACCAACCAAACAAACAAACCAAAAAAGCAACCGAAAGGAAAACTGGAGCTTCTAGAATGTGGAAGTGTCTCGGCCCGAGAGAGGCAACCTCTCTGGAAAAAACAGCCTCCCTGCCTGGGTCCCCGTGTCACGTCTCGGTGTGTCTCTCCCCCATGTCTTTTCTCTTGATTTCCTATCTGCCTCTGGGTCTCTCAGTCTCTGTGTCTCTGTAGCTGCCCGACACTGGGAGGAGGGAGGGGCGCTCGGTGACTGTGGCCGTGGCATTGACTTCCCTTGTCTATTACGGCGTCTGGCTGTTACTGTTAAGAGCGAGTTACATTGCCTCCTGCCTGCCCCCCTCCCCCACCGAGGGCCAGGCGGCCCCCTTCCTAGCTTAGCCCTTGGTCTCCACGGCCGGTTACCCGTACCCTACGAAAGACAGAGTTCAGGAAGGTTGGGACATGTTTATTGGCCCCCACCCCATCTGCAAAAGGCCCCGTGGCCTGGGAAGAAATCTCTAGTTGTGGGAGAAGGGGGGCGGGGGCAGAAATGTTGTGGGGTATCTTTTTTAAAATCCGGGCTCAACCGCCCTGATCCGGCCGGTCAGCCAAGCCCCTGAGGCTGGGGAAGGGTAGGAAGGGTGGGGTGGGGAGATTGGGGGCTGAGAGAACCGCGCCCCTGCGCCCCCCACTCCACCCCGGCCCCTAACGCGTGTGACTTTGTCCCCAGAAGCCGAACACGGCTACGCTTCGGTGCTGCCCTTCGACAGCGAGTATTCCAGGAAAAAAACAAAGACGGCCGCCTTGGCCAGGAAATCTCAGAATAACAGGTAAAAATCTGTCGACCCACTCCACCTAACCCGTGTAGACCCAGCTCCCCTTCTCTCCCACCCCCCACACCCCTCCAGGTGCTCGGACCACCTTCGGCCAGGAGCTGCCAGGCTGGGACTAGGAGTCGGAGAAACTGAGCCCTGCCCTCCCTCTCCGTCCCCCTCCCCCAGCCTCTTCCTACCCATCTCGGGGACCTGGCCCCAACCCCAGATCCCGTCGCCATTTTTCCCCTGGCCTGGGCTGGGCTGGGCTCGGCTCTGTTTTGATCTCGCACATAAACACTGCCACGCGTACAGCCTCTCTCTGCCTTGGCTCTGCCCGGCTCGATAACCCGGCAGCAGCCTGGATTGTACCCCCTCCCTGCCCAGCTCAACCCCCACCCCCACCCGCAGCAGCAGTGTCTGTATGTCCGTCTGCCCAGGGACGGATGTCAGCCCACCCCACCCTTCCTAGCGCTGATGGTGGTGGGCGGGCGAGGTCTGGGGTTTGGTTGCCTGGGACACTTCTCCCACCCAAACTTCTTAGTTTTGTTTTTGAGGCAGGAAGAGTCATGTGGAAGCCCAACCCCCATGACTTTCCAGCTCGAGGACTTTAAAAAACAGCCACTAGCACACACATATAGTTCCTTCCCCTAATCCCAAGGGTCTGGAAAAGAAATGCTCTTTCTACCTTTCTTTGTACTCTCAGTACAGTGCGTGGCACGTAGTAAGCGCTTAAAACGTGTTGTGGACTGACCGACTTCCCCCATAATAATTTGGTCAGCCAGTCTCTTGAGCTGAAAGAGCCCCAGCCACCAGTCCAATTCCCCTCCTTTCAGGGATAGGGAAACTGAGTCTCAGAGAGGGGGAAGGGACTTGCCCAAGGTTATGCAAGTTTATGACACGTGCTGGGACTTAGAACCTGTGTCTCCTCGGGACTCCCCAGTCCCAGCTGCTCTCTCCTACCCATCCCAGGTTTGCTGTCTGCCTTTGAGGGAGAAATTTCACATCTGGACAGTGGTTTTTGAGAGTTCCAGTCTATAGGCAGCCCCCACCCCCACCTTTGATTTTAATTGGAAAGCGGCTCCTGCTGAGTGAGGGTGCGAACTGCGCCCTCCCCCCACCCCCAGTCAGGCCGGACGAACTCTAGGATCGGATCAGCTCGGCACTGGCTGAGGCTCCCTGGGCCCTAGCTTTGTTTGCCTAAGCAGACCGTGCCCAGAGAGCGCTGTGTACGTGCCGAAGATTCTCTTAAAGGGGCCGCGCCTTGTTACGTGGTAACTCCTCCGGGTCCTTTCTCCAGCACCACCTACAGTTGCCAAATAACGGGCCTCGGGCTCATTGTAGTTAAGCCCTGCACTTTCCCCTGCTGTCCCAGCCCGCGTCCTTCTACTTTTCCTTCCTAAAGAAGGGGAGGGGGAAGCAATTGTGTTGTTGTCCTTCTGAAGGAAAATCCTTTCTAGCAGAGGGACTTGAGAACAACTTCCTCCTTCCCCGGTCAGTGCCCACCCTTCCCCCTCCTCCGAGGGCTGCCTAGCACTCTACCATCGAGCTTTATTCGTGCAGAACTGTGTGACCGAAAGAAAAAGCAAGGACCAGCCATTAGGATCGACCCATTGGGCATTTATTAAGGGCCTCCTGTGTGTCTGGGCATTGTGCTACCTAGGCCCACCAGGGCCAACAACGCCAAGCAAAATGGTCCCTGCCTCCAAAGAACTCCCAGTCTAACGGGGAAGGTAATCTCTGCATAAATATGTGTATATTTAAAAAAAAAAAAAGCAGAGAACAAGACAACCTTGGAAGGGGATGCTCCAGTAGCTGGGGAAGGTGGGGGAGGGCACCAGAAAAGGCCTCATTAAGCTTTGAGAGAGGGCCAGAGTTTACCAAGGACTAGGACTAGACAGTACAGTATGAACCACTGAACTTAGTGTTAGACCTGGGCCTGTTCTTAACTAGCAGCGTGACCTTGGACTTCCCCTTTTATAGGCCTCAGTTTCCTCAGCTGCACAATAAGAGGTGAGAACTAGGAAATCTCTATTTCTAACCCTAAACCCTGTGAATGTATTTGAAAGCAAGGTCCCAGCCCAGACGTTTTCTGTTCCATGGACCCTGACCTAGGACTTGAGAGCAGGAGGAAGTACTGGGGGGGAATGGGGGATAGAGGAGATGGTTTAAAACAGAGGAAGGAAAGGAAAGACCTTCCCTCTGCCTTTCTTTGTGGAGATGCCCTGCTTGGGGATGGGGAGAATATTTTCTAGTGGGAGGCAGCTGTGGTACCATGGAAGGAACATTAGATTTAGAATTCAGGTTCTACTAGCTGTGTGACCTTGGGATCTTCATCTGTAAGGTGGCGGTAGTGATGCATGTGTTACCCGCCTCACCAGGTTACTTCAAGGAACTAATGAGTGGGAGAAAAACTTGGTAAGGCACACAGGGCTCTTTAAAATGCCAGCTGCTATTATTGGTGATATTATTTGTTCACATACCAAGAAGGTCCCTCAGAGCAGCCTGGCTTTCATTTAGAAGCTGGGGTTTGGGCCCTCATTGGTCACTTTGGGTTGGTGATACTGGAACAGGGCCTGTGGGTGAAGTCTCTGAAAGGGAGCTTTGGGCTATGGGGCAGCCTTAGAGCAGGGCAGTTCCTTGGGTCCAGGCAAGCTAGGCAATGGTGTGTATTGTTTATTCTGGGGCAGTGTGTATGTGTATATACATGCAAGCGTGTGAACACGTTCACAAGACGTCCATGTTGGCAGGGCTGCTCCACTGTTGCCCATCTGGTCCATCTTTGGCTTTCTTTTTTCCCTGGTACTTTGCAGAAGTTGGGGGTATTTGTGCCCAGCAGCTGTTTTGAGGTAGTCAATCTGTCATCAATCAAATGCAGCAGAATTCCAAGCTTTACTGGCTGGGCAGTGTGGTGACATCCACCAGAGGTGGGACTTTTTCATACAAGATCTCCAGACTTTCTGCCCATGTCAGCTTTCCCATCTCATGCTCCTCCCATGTGGTCAGATGATTTTAAAAAAACCAACACAACAAAAACAAACAACTGCATACTGTTTGGATTCTGTGAGTCTTCCTGACGTCTCCCCCATGAACAGTGGGTCTTTGCGGTGGCTGTGGCTCTCTGGGGACCAGGGTTCCCACATGCTAAAAGCCAGAAATGATTCATATTTAGATCTTCATCAATACATGAACACTTTGTGCCTGTGAGAGGAGCCTGCAAAGACCTGGAAGGACAAAATAGGGTGGTGGGCCAGGCGATCTCCAAGAACCCTCCGCACTCTGGCATTGGAGGCCCAGAGGAGAGTTAGTGTGCTGGGGCCGGTCAGGAGACCTGGATCTGAATCCCTCCTTCTGCTGTCTGTTGTTATTTCACATCTTGGGGCTTCCTGGACTCCCTTGTCTATAAAATGAACAAGTTAAGACTCCATAGTCTCAGAAGTCCCTTCCTATTGTGCCATTCTGTTCCTTCAAGGTCCTTCCAGCCCTTGGGGTGAGGTTAAGTTTTTTGCCGCAGGGCATAGGAGGGATCTTGCTGTCCCTGCCCATTGCTGGGCCTGGCCCTTCCATCCCCACCTTTTCAACTTTCTCTTTCACAAGAGCAAAGCTCAGAAAACCCCGGAAAGTGGTAAACATGTGACCAATAAGGAATCGTAACAACGTCTCCCGTTTCCATAACACTTTGAGATAGGGCTCACTAGTGCTTTCCTTACAGTTTATCTATGGATCATTATCCCTGTTATACAGATGAGGAAACTGAGGCTCAATGAACTGCTTTTGCTTTCTGTCACCCAGCTAGTTCAGTGTTGGGGCAGGAAGAGAGGCTAGGGCTTCTGACTCCATGTCTGAGATACCTCTCGGCTCCCCTGAGGGACCACCCCTTTGGGTAGGAGCCCATTTTCTGGCCCTGCTCCCAAGCTATAATGGCAGCAAATAGGTGCTTAGCAATGCTGGCTTCCTGGTAGGCCAGGTCTGGCTTCTTCTAGGCTCTAATGCTGATAGAGCTTGAAGGAAGATGATTCACGGAGTTTGGATTCAGGACTGTCCTCAACCTTGGCCTTGTTCCCCAGGGTGTGTCTTTCTTCTTCAGTGACAGTGTGCCTATCCCTGTGCTCAGGTTGGTGGGTGGGTGGGTGGATGAGTTAGGGAGGAGAGATAGGACTGTTCTCTTCCTTCATCCAATTTCCTTGAACCAGCTTGAGGGACAGAACTTGGACCATTAAAATAATTCAAGCACAGTCTGGTCCTAAATCCCTGCAAGTGTCTGGGGAGCTCGGAGAAGGAAGAGCAGTGGATGTTGGGTTGGGCTAGTCTGGTCTGGTCAAGAAAGGCCTCCTGGAAAAGGGTGGAACTTAAGCCAAGCACTGAAAGTGCCTCAGCAAACATGTACCAAGCCCCTACTATGAGCCGGAATCTGAGGTAGGCCCTGAGGAGACAGACTTAGCTCCCACACAGGCCCTGCCTTCAGAGAGCTTGCAGTCTAATGTTGAAAAAGGAGATGCATAGGAGGAGACATATGACTGAAGTGAAACTGAGAGTTTTGTCATAGGCAAAGAGAGAAGCCCAGGTGAGAAGAGCCATGAAAAATTGGAAGGTGTCAAAGTGGATAGAATGCTGGGCCTGGAATCAGGAAGACCTGAGTTCAAATACAGTCTCAAGGGGCAGCTAGGTAGTGTAGTGGATAGATCACAGGCCCTGAAGTCAGGAGGACCCAAGTTCAAATCCGGCCTCAGACCAAGCACTTGACACTTACTAGCTGTGTGACCCTGGGCAAGTCACTTAACCCCAATTGCCTAAAAAAAAAAAAACCAGCCTCAGACAATTACTTAGCTATGTAACTGTGGGCAGGTCCCTTAACCTTATTTGCTTCAGTATCCTCCTCTGTAATGGGATAATAATAGCATCTATCTCTCAGGCCTGTTATGAGAACCAAATGAGATAATATTTGTAAAGTACTTAGCACAGTGCCTGGCACATAGAAGGCACCATATAAATGTTAGCTGCTGCTGTTGGTGGTACAA